AAGACTTACTTTGATCAAACCCGCCTATAATAATAAACGTTCATTTTGGAAACTTGATTTGCAAATAGATCTTGACTGTAACACTTACTTCTACCAAGCCCGCCTATATAATTATTTGAATAATTGATAAAGCGAAATCGAGTGGCCCTAGCCGAAAGAAAAGCTAAATGGAAAGCCCAAAGGAAAGGAGGCAATATGTAAAATCACCAACCCCATTGTTCCCTGGACTTATCCGAGTGTTGAAAAGACCAACAATAACGATGATAAGAAATCCCCACGCAAAGCATTAAAATCCAAACATCTGGATTTTGAGGAACAATTCAAGAGTTCCAACAGCAAGAGAAAGACCAAAATCACATCAAGGAGTCGGGTAAAAAAAGAAGAAGTGCAGACCATGACCCACAGGAAGAATCAAGCACATCAAGAGCAACGAACCTGACACATACAATGAACGAAGTTGTCAGCAATAATAAAGGTTATACGGATGCAGTAGAAATTCGTACAACATTGAAAATGATGATAATAATGAGAATGAAACAGTGGTAAACAACGACGATGATGAGAGTTGTGACACTGGATAATTTTTATTATTCTTTGTATTTTTTTTTTTCGCAATAAAAATTACGAGATCAAAAATTTTTTTTTCTATTTGTATTTGTATGCAATAAAATTATCTAGATCAATTTTTTTTTTCAGAAAAATAAAAAAATAATAATTTACCACTCAGCGAAAGCAAAAAATTCCTTCCCAAAAAATTAGGTTTAAAAAACAAAGATTTTTCGGTTTCAATTGCAATTGCAACGCATTGCTTTGCAATTCAATTCAACGCAACTCAATTTCAATGCAATTGCAACCTGTTTTATAAAACAAAACATTTGCCGTACGACACAATTTTTGCTAAATATGGTGAAAACGTTGATCGCGCCAAAAACCGAAAAGACCAGGCGCGGCTAGACGCAAAAGGAGACAATTGGCGAGAAAACTGCGCGGAAGTCGCTGGAAGGAGATCGTGACACGGCAAATGTTAAATCTTTTTTTTGTGTTAAAATAATATAATCAAAAAATTAAATTAAAATTTGTAAATTTATTAAAAGGAAAAAAATATATACCCGACAGCAATAATGATAAAAACATTACCAACAACAATAATAATATAATCAAAAATCAATGTAAATTTTATTAAAAGAAAAAAATATATGCCTGATAGCGATATTATAATAGCATCAAAATGATTATTCCATTGATGATAATAATAATGATGGTTCACAATTGAAAAAATATGAATCACGCCCATAAGCATATAATACAAGTAGAATATTCAAAAGTTATTAATCCTAAATCAAATGATAATAACTATATAGTAGTAATTCTAGTTTATGGGGATTCAGTATATGAACCTAAAATTCCTTAACAAAGTACTGGAATCAATATTATTGCTAATGTTAAATATTAATAATGTTAACCCTGGGTTAAATTGATTAATTTATTGTTTATTTATTATTTAAATATAATTTTTTTTCTAATTAGTGGAAAATACGATTTATGAAGATGTAGTAGCAGGAAATGTCATTGTAAACGAAATTGAGAAGTTAACGAAAATAATAAAAAACAACAAGATTTTAAGATCCAAGATTTAACATAATCATTTGACTTTTAAAGGTTTAGATCCATTCGTGTTATTTATTAGAATGTAGTTTCACTTTAAACTTTATAGTATTTATATTGTTTGATTTGATTTATTACTTTGAATATCCATATCCATCCATTATATTTAATATTAGTGCAATTATTAAATATAAAAAACTTAGCTTCATTATAGTGAGATCGTGTTCGAGTTATAAATAATAATAATATATATTTACGCTTTACTTTCGAAACTATATCTCAGTAGGTTTCACTATAATCTGTATAACCAATTCTTAGTTAACAATACCTTTCTAAACAATTCTCTCACTCTAATCTATGGAGCCATTCCTTAGTAATCAATACCTCTCTAAACAAAAAATAAAAAGAAAAATTATGCACTGACGGGATTAGTGTGAATGCTAGCCCTTTTATTACTTGAGCTTAGTTTCATTGTTAAAGGTAGGTTTATTATGATTATGTGGTCACAAAGATTTTTCATCATAATCCCAGTTGGCGTAACCGCAAAAATAGTAATAAAATAAAATCTGGGAAAATTGAAATGATGTTATTTTGATCTATTAAATTTAACTTAAATACACACGCTCACTTTGTCATTACTTCTTTGGAAATAAACATTCCTCCATGCTTTTTAATAAACAACTTTAAAGGGAGATTGTTATACTTACTAGTCCTATTCATTGTTATGTCATATTGTGTGGGATTTGAGAGAGATTACATTTGCATTCAAAATGTTCATGAAAGGATCAAAAATATAATTAATAATAATAATAATAATAAATAAACCTGGTAGCACTCGCTATTTTATGAACCAATCGTTTAATCAGTTGTTGATTTTCTAAAGAATTCAATTGTCTGGTCTTTGTAATAATGTAAACAAAGTGACGTTACTTTACTTGTCTCGAGAAAATTCCCTTCATCGTTTAATTGGTAATCATTATTAAAATTTATATTTAGGCAAATTTTCCTTTTGAAAGATATAAGGAAAAAAAAATGAATGCATGCATTATAATGTATGACCAACAACTTTAATTTAACAATCAAAAAAATATAATCTTTGTTTGATTTATATTTACGTGTAACACCCGCTTTGATTAGACATTCCCAAAAACAGGATTTTTTCTTAAAATTATATAAGTAGCAAGTTTTTCTCTTTAAACAGTCCACTATTCAATTAATCAAATTATTATAAATACTTCATTATTACTTTACCATCAACAATCTTTTCACAAAACCTTAAATTAAAATTTTAAACTTAAAATAAAATGAGTAACAGAAATTCTCAAAGAAAATTAAATTTCAATGTTGGAGAAAATTATGATGTCATAGATGCTGTAGGAGAAGGAGCTTATGGAGTTGTTTGGTATTTATTTTATGATTTATTTATAATTGGAACTAGAAATAAATTGATTCTGGACAATTTATATTAATAAATGCTTTTGTTAAAAATTTTATAGTTCAGCTGTACATAAACCAACTGGGCAAAAAGTTGCCATTAAAAAAATAACTCCTTTTGATCATTCCATGTTTTGTTTACGTACACTTCGAGAAATAAAGCTTTTAAGATATTTTAATCACGAAAATGTTAGTGTCACGCATTCTTGATTGATTTTTAAATTTTTATTTGTGTTATATTAACTAACTTGAATATATAAATATTTTTATTAGATTATTGCTATCTTAGATATTGTAAAGCCAGTAAGTTTTGAGAAATTTACTGAAGTGTGAGTAACTAAATTTTTTACATTCTTTACCTTCACTTTTTTTTTATGTTTATTTCAGATCAAACTAATCGTGTTTTAAATTTTATTAATATTCACAAGTTATCTTATCCAAGAACTCATGGAAACTGATATGCATCGTGTAATTCGTACACAAAACTTGAGCGATGACCATTGCCAGTACTTTATTTATCAAACTCTTCGTGGTTTGAAAGCATTACATTCTGCCAATGTACTTCATCGTGATTTGAAACCAAGTAATCTCTTATTAAATGCTAATTGTGATTTAAAGGTTAGTAATAAATTTTTTTTTAAAAAAAAAAACGCACGAAAACATTTAATAAGTTTGAATAAAAATTAACTTAACAATAGATCTGCGATTTTGGACTTGCGAGAAGTGCAAATTCTAGTGATGAACATAGTGGATTTATGACAGAATATGTTGCTACTAGATGGTATCGTGCACCTGAAATTATGTTAACGTTTAAAGAATACACCAAAGCAATTGATGTTTGGTCTGTTGGTTGTATTTTGGCTGAAATGTTGAACGGGAAGCCATTGTTTCCTGGAAGAGATTGTAATTATTAATTCAATAATTTATTGTTACCAATTGTTGTTGTTATTATTTGTTAAAAACGAAAATTTTATTTTATTTTTATTCTTGATAAAAAATAAAAAAAAAACAGATCATCATCAGCTCACTTTAATTCTTGATATTCTTGGTACACCAACAATGGAAGATTTTTATGGAATTAAAAGCCGAAGAGTAATTATTGATTAATTGTCTTATTTATTTATTGATTTTAATTTGATTTATTTAAAATATTATTAACATTGTTATCATCACAATCATCTTATAGGCACGTGATTATATTAGAAGTTTGCCATTTAAAAAACGAGTTCCATTTTCTCAGATGTTTCCTGAGGCAAATCCATTGGCTGTAGATATGTTGGAGAAGTTGTTAACATTTAATCCTACAAAGAGAGTTACCGTTGAAGAAGCTTTAACACATCCTTATTTGGAACCTGTAAGCATCAACATAAATGTTATTTTTGTAGTACTTTGTTTATTAAATTATCAATTTTATAATAATTCCTTCCCGTACACAACCTCCCATATATCTCCTTCCTTTCCTTCTAGTATCATGATCCTGAAGATGAACCAAATGCTGACCCAATTCCAGAATCTTTCTTTGATTTTGATAAACAGAAAGACCATTTAACTAAAGAACAATTAAAACGTGAGTTATTTATTTGTTATTTTTGCAAAAAAAAAAAAAATGGTTTAAAATAAAAAATAAATATTATTTTTATTAAATTTTTTTTTTAATTTTTCTATTTTAGAACTTATTCATGATGAAATTATGAGACCAATATAAAGTTATTTTTTAACTTTATCCAGTATATAATTTATATATATAAATAAAAAAATGTACAGTTTTTTTTTATATAGAATTTTTTATTATATTTATATACATAGACTTGTTTTTATTTTATCATCATTTTATAAATAAAATTTATATATATATATATAATTAAAAAATAAATTGGAATCAATTCAAGACGACTGACTACATTAAAATTAACGCTAGACATGGTAATAGTGTCTGTGATATTTAATGGAAATTACCTGAAAAGTCGCAAGTTCGCCCAGAGTTGGTTGATTATCATGTAATCATGTGATTAAATTTAGTAGTAAAGGATCACCATGCCTTTAAAAAAAGTTAGATGATAATGAGTAACAAAAATTGTTTTCTTTGATAACTGCCAACACCAAATTCAGATATTAAAAAAATATGGACAAAAGATAACCAACAAGACGATGTTAAACAGCGTGGATCGAAGAAAATATATTCAAACATTATTATTATTACCTAGTTCTAAATTAGTGCAAAGAAGGAAGAATATATTATTTTACTTCTCACAAAATCCTGAAAATGTTGCCCAACTCATCAGATATATAGAGAGTTCATTAACACAACATCTGTATGGCAACCTTTATATCAAAAAAGCCGAGAAAGCCAATTAAAAAATCCTTGACTTTAACGTCATCGGCTATGGAAAATTCATATGTTCAATAGTTTGCCAGCTGATGTTGGAAAAGTTTGATCCAATTTTGGAATCTATTTGATGTTTCATACTGTATTATGATCTTTAAAATTAAACTAGAATTCCTGGTATTCTCCAGACTTTTTTCCTGTCAATAAAAGCCAGACTAGAAAATACTGAAGGATCAAAAAAAAGCAAATCCTCCAGTATTAAACTCGGGGCTTTACGTAGTTACAAAAATCAAAATAGTTGTAAAGCATGCCATGTTACCGAGCGAAAAAATGCTATGGATGAATTGATATAAGTTGAAAAGGGTAATTATCATTTATCAGTTGTAATATAGAATCTTTCATAACACAACTAGAAATAGACGGTGCTTACTACCGGAAAGCATTTATTAATTCACAGTTTGGTTTACCAATATCGTTTTTTTATCAAATAGACTTGGAGCTTCTCAATGACAGGAATTTTAAATGCTCCCCGGGTCAATTAGTATTAGAATATGGCAACAGAACTTTAGATGAAGCAGGTGGTTGCTTGCTTTCATCATAATCTCACTGCTTTCATGATCGTATTCTTTGTCCATTCCAGTTATTTAGTATAATTCCTTTGAAATCTTTTTTCTTTTTTGTTATATTATATATGTTGAACTTGATTTATTTAGTTTGTTCAAACGGTGGCTCACGCTCATGCATTAGAGAATGAAGGTTCATGTGTCTCACAATAATAGCAGCCTTGTGACTTTATTCACAAAGTAGATTAAATATATGTTTATTTATAGAACAAGCTTTCAATCATCGTAACACCATTGAAATATTTTCTTCAAAGTAAAAGCAAAAGGAAATGAATGCATTTAAAACAAGCATTAAAGATGAAGAAATTATCGATACAAATAAATAATATATAACAGATGGTGATAGTAAAGATCAAAACGTAGGAAAGCGTAATCAATCAATTGCGGCAACCGGATTTGGGCACGATTTATCAAAATTTTCATTTTCTTACTACTTATTATTACATCATCCTCTCCACCACTTCTTCCTTAAATGGCAATGTCAGATCTAGAAATTTTAGTAGAATTTTCAGAACCCATGCCAAAACTAGGAGAAAGTATATATGATAATCTTATTAGTGAATGGAAAATTCATAAAGGTTATTTCCCAATGATTTTATTTCAATTATACACATAAATCAAACTTTGTTTTTTCTCTCAAAGAACAAGGTAAAGGAAGAAATTCTGGATTTCTTACTATTTAAGATTATTATATAATTATTTATTATAATTACATATCAAATTATTATTTTCTAATAAATTAACAAATTAACCTCTCTCATCATCACTATTATTATTATATTTCTTCTATGAATAAATATTGGCCAATGATAGCACCGAAGATAACTAATAAAAGCGGAGTTAAAGGTTTTCTAAATTTATATAAAATACCCAAAGTCAATATGTAAAGAACTGCAGCAAGAGAGCTTTGCTTGGCAGCGATCAAATCTCTTTCAACCCCGGCAGGATATAATACCAAACTAGCCGAAGTTGTTATTGAAGCTTTAAGCAGATCGAAAGCCGTCACTGCTATAATACCAACAACACTGCCCGTAATACCATCAAAAAATGCTGCCATGAACTGATTACGAACCAATTTCTCCAACAGATCATGTCCCAAGATCGTAAATAGGAAACATGGAGTGAATATTCCAATGGTAATCAATACAGCTCCTAAAAATCCATAACCAACACCACCATAGACATAACCTCCTTGATATCCAATAAACGTTGAAAACATTACTAAAGGTGATGGCAATACATTTCCAATAGCTATCGCGTCCAAAAATGTTTGTTTTGTCATCCACCCTCCTATTGTCACAGCTTCTGCTTGTAAAAACGGAATCGTTGTCTTATGATATATAAATTTTATTGTTTTTTGTAAGTAAGTGGGAAATAAATAAAGATTTATAGATAGATTTAATTTTTTAAAAAACGTTTTTTATATCACTTACATAAGCACCTCCAAATGATAAACTACCAGCCAAGAAACCCAAACCAAAAATATGGCCAGGGTCAGTCGTTTTAGCAACGCCTACACCTAATGAATCAAGTGATGGCAAACCTTTTAAACCAACATAAATCAAAAATCCAGTCAATTCTCCTAAAATCACTGCAATACCGATAACACGATAGTTCCTATCGATAAACATAAATGCCAATCCGGATACAGCTAATGTGACAAAATAATTCAATCTTAAAACACTTTGAAACGCTCCTAAAATAGCAAAACTAAACAACCACCAATTGAATTTGTTTGATCTGTGCGAAATAAACGAATGCTCGCCTATTTTGTGTACAGCTCTCAGCACCATGGCTGCAACCATTGGTTGCAATGCTCTGAATGAAGCGTTGAAGTAAACGTTTTCCCATCCAATTTTTGTATAGATGAATGAAAACAATAATATCAAGAAAAATCCCGGTGTTATAAATCCGAATCCGCCCAGGAGCCCGCCTATTTTTCCACCTGCCAAACATCCAAAAAACATAGCCAATTCAGTTGCTTCTGGTCCCGGAACTATTTGATAAACTCCATAAACTCTATTAAATCTAGCAGTTGTGATCCAACCTTCTTTTACAACCAACCTTTCTTTAAGCAATGATATTTGTGCAACTGGTCCACCCCAAGCAAGACATCCAAAATTTAAAAATAATAAATAAATTCTCCAATATGATAATTTTGGAACTTTGGAATTGTCGTGAAATTGATCTTCATCTTCATTTTGATAAACTTCATTATCTTCGTCCTTGTTATTATTATTGTTCTCTTCTTTATTTGTTGTAATAACAATGACTGGATCATTTTCTCGCCTAGTAACTGTTTGTTCATTACTTAGTGAATTGGCCGAGTTTGGAGAATTTGTGACGGTTGTAGAAGTTGTATCACCTTTTTCTTCAAAATCTATCTTTTGAAAATCCTCTTTTGTTTGGCTTGACATTATTAATTTTTGTTTTTTCTCATAGGATATTATTAGTATTATTATTTTTTGAAAAGATAGAAAAAACTTTTTTTTTTTTAATCCAGATTTTCATTATTTATAAATAAACAAACTGTGGTGCATTACGAATTTTTAATTTTTGTGAAAGATGGCGAATGTTACTACTAACGTAGCACATTCACCTACTACTACCATAAGTATCCGACCACACAAGTTGTGTAACGTCAAATGAAAAGAGTCCTTACTAAAAAAGTAACGCTTTCTTAAATAAAACCGTTTTTACTTTACTAAGTAGACTTGTACTTGATATCAAAATCTCTAAATTACAAAAACTTCGAAAGGTTCGGTATGGTATTAATGGAAACATTTAGCAAATAGTCCAAAAAACAAATTTTCAATCGGAATCTTTACATATAATAAAGGTCAAATTTCTTCATTGTAATGTATATTATTTCATTAATAAAATGTAACAGATTACATACATCCACAATATGGTGTTGGCATAAATTAGTTCGTGAAAAGGGTTTAAAAAAGTATCTGACCACCTCGTAATTTTGTCATATAAAGCACTTAGTAAAGTTGACAAAATGCAAATTTTAAGGCTTTAAGTTTTGTTGTCTATACTTGATCAAATTTTCTCAAATTTTAACCATATATAAAATTCAAGGTATTTCAAGTATACTTACTTAATTACGTAATCCATGATTCAACGGAGTTTTGAAGGTTTTTACTAAGCTCAAAGTTTTTATAAAAATCACGGGATTTTTGTCTAATTTTCATCCTAAATTCATTAATAATGCAAACTCGACGAGACTTTAAGTTTATATGCAAATTAACTTTTAAAAACATGTTTACTTAATGCATTAGTTCCGGTTTGATTAATAAAATTTTGAATTGCATAATAATAAGGCGTAAAATTTCCGATTATTAAAATGATCATCAGGTGGTCGGATATTTATGGTAGGAGAGTGTAAGTGATACCAAACAATGCATTCCCAATTAAACATTGAATTGATTCTTGATCGATAAGGCATTTATAGAAGTGATCTATTAAATGTGGCGAAAAAATTAAGATTTAAAATATAATAAATAAAATTGTAAAATATGAAATTATTAATTCAAATTATTATAATTGATGAAATAAATTTTTAGAGAAGAATATAACAATTTTCATATCAAATAATATATTAATATACTAAAGTTTCATCGCATATGAATAAAAAAATTGTTGTTTAAAAACCTTAGTATTAGATAAAAATGAATTTTCCGAAATTTTCTGGAAAATGTTTGACTCGAAAATTGACCACAATGTCATGTTCTAACGACCTTTGTGGTATATATAAGTAAAAAATGCATATTTAAATTTAGTTATTTGTAGAATCTCACGATTTATTATTATGGACAAAATACTAAACAGATTGAATTTTTTCAATTTCTTAAAAAAATTATAAAGCTTTAAATTGATAATAGTGAACTAAGTGAAGATGATGATGATGGTGATGGTGAATTAAGAAGATAATGCGCCATGTTACAAAGCAGCTGTAGTGAGGTGTATGGAAAGATGATAATAACATTGTAGTTCTCTCCTGGCCTGGTCTGCCCAAAGTATAGATTGAAAATTTTGACAGGATTTAAAAAGAAGATTTAGATTAAAAATTATAAATTAAAAAATAGGACTGGATTTATTTAATTTATTGAAAAAGAAGTGTATTAATTCTCCATGAATATATATTTCAACAACAATTTCCAAGTTCTCTAGATGTGTTATCTCTAAGTGCAATTCAATAACAATCAGTCCAATGTGATATTTTAGAATGTTATACAAGTAAGAATTTTACTAGTGCACAACATCAATTTGAATTCATTCAATTATTTTTGCTGATTATCATGCAAGTCAACTATTAGATTGCTTGATAGCAATTGTAACCAGTTTTTCCTTTTACCTTTTTGTCTCTGGGGTTAAAACTGCGAGCATAAGTGAGCATAATTTTAGGTTAAGAAATCGGTTCATGTTTAACATTTCCTATAGAGAGTCAGTTTATACTTACTATACATGTTAAAATTTAAATTAAATAAATATACCCGAGAAACTTTTTACAGAGTATAAACTATACATGAAGTCAAAACATTTGCAGATCTGGTAGAGTCAAAATTGATTTTTACTATTACTATGTAATTGTGATTGCCTCAAGTTGAAACATTTTGACTGTGGGAGGATTTGATTTCGACTTCATGTTAATTACGTAGAGAGATTTCTTTCAGACTTAATTTTCCTGAAAAAATTAATATTTTATCAAATACCCAACCTATAAAATAAATATCTTTCAATGTCAAAAGATTGTTGACACATATTTTCTTTAACCTCTTAGGCCATATTTCTGAAATGTTTTATAGCTTATTTGGTGAAATTGTCATTGTTTACCCTGTATGTACAAACATTCTCGCCGCTTACACCAAAATAGAAGATATTTTTTATTAAAAAAGAAAATTTTGTAGTTGGTTTTCCAAACAAATAATCAACGACGAAAAGTTTCTTAATTTCGTACAATAAAAAGAATGGCAATCGTTTGTTATATTGTATGATTACCTGATACCAATACTATTTAAAAAAAGAATTTTAATATAAAAAAAGGTGTATATGTCTAAATACTAACGCCAATTAATATTTGTTATAGTTTAAATTGAATACTATTTTTACGTGTAAAGAAGGTTTACTAAAAAATAAATTTCTTTATTGTTAAAATCAAACAAGACTTTTTTTAAACTGTAAAGACACGTTGTCGTCACGGGAAGTGTAATTACATAATTACATAGTAATGACCGTCACGCATTTTTTAATGAAAAATTTACTAACAAAACATTTTAAAATATCCAAGTAAACAAACCAATTATCTGAGTTATGGAAAACAAGCTGCAAGTTAGAGAAAGTCTTTTTCTGGTTCTTTTCTTTGTAAAGTAATAGAGATTAAAAAAGTACGTTTTATATAAAGTTATTAAACTATATATTATTATTATTAAAAAAAATTACATTTATTTAATTATAATATTATTATTATTATTAACAAAATCATATTTATTAAAATAATATCTACTTTTTTGTTTCTTTCTTTTCCCTGAAAAATTACACACACCAATAATCCCAGACTTTTTTTTAGTCCACTTATCATCATAACTTTTTTTAAATTTAATGGTAGGAAACCAGAATCTTTATAATTAGCAAGATTTTTAAAATTTTTAACCTCTTCATTTGAGTAAATTTTCATGGGTGATTAGGGAGTTGAAGATTGAATGGACGAACTAGAAGACGCAACAGGTATATATTTACGTTTGTGGAACATTGCCAATATTATCATTTGTCCAATCCATTACAATATTCTCGCTTTGGACTTGTGATTGCTGTCTTGATTTTTGATTTTGATCTTTTCTCTGTTCATTAAATCTAATATTTAACTTTTACTAGGTCTTTAGCTCCTCTTCCTTTTGTAATTTGCCTTTCAGTCATATAAACTTCCTGAGCAAGAATCTTTTCAATAAAATTGATCCATTATTTATATCCTTCAGGTATAATTTGTGTGGTTATAATCAAAAATGGAATGATTATATTACAGAAGCTTCATAAATTTTATCACTCAAATTCCACATTTCCTGACTGCTATTTTTTATGACACGTTCATGTAAGTATGGTGTACTTTATCAGGAACGAACTCATCAAGGATTTTTAATTGATTAATCTCATATTGACTTGCTTTATTTGTAGTTGAAAATTTGCTTCATCTTCAAGCTTTCCTGTCATTGTTTGCTTAATAAATTTTACACCATAGACTCATATTCTACATAATGCTCTTCTCGCGTGAGGTTGATAGATAGTGCTTGAAGCAAATTTTTTGAAACTCAGATTCCTTATATTCAGCATCTGCATTTCCCTGTAATTGGGAAGAGTGATGAAAAGGCCGTAAGATACACAACCTGCAAATAAAATTCCTCTTTGAATTCCAACTTGTGCGCCTTCCAGTAACCCCATCCCATCTGTAATAATTTAGCCATATTTTCAAAATATTATTGAAACACAATCAAAACCTTTTCCAGTGTTTTGTAGAAAACGATAGATGGCAATTCTAACTGCAACCGGATCAATTCAAGAACACTAGTTGCACAATAGTCTCCACCATTATCCAAATGAATCAGCGACTTAATTCCGGGTTGAAACGCTATGTTGTATATCCCATATCCAGAAAAGGCTGTGGTCAATATATTGTGAACATTTTCATCAGAGTTAAGTTACATTCCAGAATTTAAAATAACCACATTTGGCTTAGCAAATCTACATCCCAATTCAACAGTTTACCAACTTTAAGATGATTATCTTTAACATCAAATTCATATATTTTTTCTAAAATTAATTAATTAAAATTCTCATATTTTTTATTTAAATTTTTTGTTACTGATGATTCCCAATAATTACTTGATCAAATGACTCAGAGGAGAAATCTGAAGGAGAAATTGCAAATTTGAGGAAGTCTTAACCTGGAATACCATATAAAATATAGCAACACCATAGTGATTGCCATATTAATAAGTTTTCTCTTGTAAATCTATATTATCTATAGCAGTCAGATTATAAATCTCACTATCAACTTCGAGTTTATTAATTAGATCAGCATTTTCATTCTTTCATTTTGTTTTCGAACTTCAGCATAGGAAATCATATTTGATGAATGGAAAATTGGGTGAAGTTTTGAGATTAATCGTAGATGTCTACAGAGGGAACTCAAAACTTGAGGCAACCAAACCTTCCAACCACAAAAGGTTATCCACAAAATAATTGATACTAAAAAGATTGTGGTTTTTAATTGGTGTGGTATCTAAGGGATTTTACGTTTTTTTCTTTGTCTTTGCAACTACATGTTTTCTTTTGCTGACAGTGATAAGTCTCTTAAAAAAAGAACAGAGAATTAGTGGCAAAGTAGATGAATAGCGTATGGGAGGGGGATTGTGGATTTTTCAGGTTGGTAATTATCCCACGTAATTGCCATAATGATTCACCATTTATGTTTCCAAAACTATTACATTCCCCTTTAAATCTATTTTAGATAATTTGAAATGCTATTTGTATCATCAATTGAGTTGGTATAATATTACTTGATAAGTCTGACTGGTTGGAAATTATATTTTCTGGCAAGTATTGTTTAATCGGTCAACAAAAAGTCAATTTCCGAATGATCCTATGTTTTTATCACAACTGAACATCTTATAACCCTTCCCCATTCTTTTACGGAAATGGCCTCCATTAGCTTCAAAACAATCAGAACAAATATACAAAGAACGGGAGCTATTTGTTGATTTAGTGGAAATTGAGGCACAATCTTGCAAAGATTCGCAAGATTGCAATCCCAAGCAAGGTATTCCTCTAATGTTTCGCCCATATACAGCCCATGGATTCTCAGAACATCCATCACGTGTGAAGAAGCTTTTGAACTTTTTTACATAGTAAGCAACGTGTATGATGTAATTTATTTTGTTCTGTTTGTAACTGTAGTTGCTTTTCTTTATGTAACATGTTCTGATCATAGATAACAACACCAATCTCAAATAAATCATTTCCATATTGTTCCACAGTATTACGATAAACTTCACAAGTACCTTTAAGTTGAGCAAGAGGTCTGGATCGTCAGAAATTTCTTTTTCTTTATTATCAAAATCATAACTTTCCTCTTTTTCAATATCATCAAATTCAAGGATGGGAAAGTTATATCAGATTCAACATCTAAGCTATTTTCATATAATCTATTACTATATTTTCAATTATAAAATAGTCATCATTATGTGAAATTGACAAGAGATTTTGTTCAAGGGAGCAAAAAAAAAGTGCCCTTCAAGGAAGGGGCGAAAGAAAAATTTCATTATTATTATTATTATTATTATTATTATTATTATTATTATTGTTATTATTAATGTTATTATTATTATTATTACTCTATTAATGCTATTATTATTGTTAATGTTTTTCTTTTTTTTTTTAATAAAAGCAATATCCTGCTTATATAATTTTATTAGAATGAAGTAAACATTAATTCACAAAATAACTTTCAGAAAAAACAGATATGCCAAACAAAGTCTATGAAGTTTATTCAGTTATTATTATAAAACATTATTAATGCTATTATTATTGTTAAGTTATTTAATGTTGTTATTGTTAATATTATTAATAACTGTTAAAAAAAAGGAATGTTTTCTTGAAAAAAGAAAAAAATTTTTTTTTTATTAAATAAATTGTGTAATATTAATATTACATAGAACCTATGTGACATATAAGAATTAATTACCTTTTGAAGTAGACCTCTCTACCAAGTAGAATATCTTTGTATTAGCATTTCAAAACATGTATTTAAGGACTTAAAATTCTGAATTAATCCATTCGCAAAACAATCATCTAATCGACTGGGACTAAACTAATGATACCTGAGGAAATGATCGGCATTTAGTCAACGACGAAATGTAATTTACCACAAAGAGCATATTGACGAAAGGAAAAGGAGGGAAAAGAAAAAATCGACGAAAAAAAAAGAGAAAAATATAACCATTTTCACAAAGAATATTTTTGTAATGTTTCTTCTGATTTCTAATTAATTTTTATCATCATCTTCATTTGTATTATTTCCAAAATTGTTATCAATTTCATTACTTGTAAGACTGTTATTAATGTCAATATCATAACATTCTTGTTCTAAATAATTGTTTCATTGAATTATGTTCGCTTTCAAATTCATTTTCAACAAAGATATTTTTTACTAAATCTTTTGGATCATAATTATTATCAGAAAATTCGTAAATTGATTCATTTTGATTAACTTTGACTATTGTGTGACATTTAAATTTAAAAGAAAAAATTTTGTAAAAAAAATTTTTTTAAAATTTGTTTATAATATCTCCTTTTCGTCATATTTTCCTCTTTTCGTAACATTTCATCAATTTACCACATTTTACCATTTCGCCAAATGTGACGAAATTAACAATGATTTGACGAAATAATTTCCCGCCTGCAAAAACATTTCGTCAGGTATCATTACTCTAAACTATTATGCTATTTCAAGACGTGCCTTGAGTGGTTTAGTTGGTTAATATCAAACCAAACCTTATTATTATACAAATATCTGGGATCCCAAAATCAAATTGTAGTTAAAATTTTGGGTGGGTATTTGGATACAAAATTTTGATTGGCTAATTTGAATTTCACGCGCATTAATTTAAAATTAATTCATGCACAATATGGATAGGACACCGCAAACTATATAGTAATAGATAGGTTACATATATACAAAAATCACAGTTTGATATAGGGTTTTTGACCCACACTGTGATTGGCTTATTGGAGACAATCTTTCCAAATATGGTAATTTAACTAATAGTAAATAATCTCTTCTGGCCCATATTGTAGAACTACTGAATAATCTCCATTATCTGTAAATTTAGTTATGGCATGGCAATTAACAATATTTGATTTAATTCTACAATAAATCAATTCTTGAAAATATGGATAAACTCAATTAATCTAATATTAAATGAAATTGTTACTGACCTCATCAAAAAATTTATCCTCAATGTTATTTGAATTATTTAAACATTTTAAAACTACATAATAATTAAATTCCTTTTATCTCCATCATAATCATTTATATATCCTCTTGTCCATGTTGCCATATCAATCCTTCTCTAGATAGATATTCAATACCCTTGAATTAACCAGATGGATCCATTCCATTATATTTTTTGGAAGTGCAGAGAACTTTTGGGATTGTTGAATACCCGTTGACTAAATTACACCACACTGCTATGTGGCTAGAAAATAGTATACATATGGTATAAAACATGTTTATGTCGAAACTGATGTGAAATTGGCTTCTAGGACACCTTGTGAATATAAATTGGATGAAAATTGGGTGATTTGTCTCAGAAAAATCGATTTTTTTTAATACTGGAAATAAAATTAAATCATTTCCACATTGGATTGTGGCTGATTTCTGATTTTTGGCCACATAGTTGCCATATCATATACTATATACTAATTGGATGTTGTGATCCTCCAAGGAGGCCCTTGGCCTCATTGATCACCTGATATTAAATGGTTGCTTGAACTGGATTTTTGGCCACTTTTGTATATTTTTATTGTCAAAAACTGACATTTTTTATTCATTGTCTTCATCAACACTTTCTCCTTTTTCCTCTTCAATATCACTCTCTTCACTTTTTTCATCTTCAATATCACTCTCTTCTTCACTCTTTCTGCTTGTAATTTAAAATTTTTCAACAAAGGCTCTTAATTCATTGTATTAAGCTGATGAGTTATATTACTAACATTCTAATCAATACGACCAGTTTTAATATGTTCCATATACTTGGAACCACCAACTCTAATACTTCGGTTAGTAAATGGGTTGATAATGTAATTCATTATTTCTATTACATTATGTTCCTAAGCCTAAATCGAAAAACTTTACATGTTAAGCATGCAAAGTTTTAAAAAGAGACCAACATTCATGTAACAAAATTTATAATTTAGATATATAAATGTCTACACTTAGCATAGACATCTTTGTAACAAATTTGTTAAAGACATTATATTTGGTGTTTCCACATACTCAATTTCTTCTCTGACCCTAATAGATCATCAGCATCAAATGGGACCCTACTGTCGTTAAGGGATTTTAGTGCATTGCTAATATAACCAAAAGTTTTAGTAATATATTCGAACATTTTTGTTTTGTTTTTATATTGAATGCAAAATGTTTAATTCGAAATTTTTAGAGTTCTTGTTTTGGTATCAACTGCTGCTCCACTTTGCTATGCAGATTGTTTTCTCTTTGTTCTCTGTATATTTGTGTATTCAGTTCTTTGACTACTTGTTTTATGCCTTCTGATAACTACTTTGATTTCAGGTATATGTTTAAATAATATGACGAATTTTTGTTTCTTTGATATGGCCTAAAACATGAATTACACCACATTTCTATGTGACTGTTGTACGTGAAAATGAAATTATGTGAATTCGCAATCCACATATGTGAAATTCAAATTTACATGTGTGAAATTCAAATTAGCCAATCAGAATTTCACCCACTCCATAATATTTCAATTTCACATAATTTCAATTTCACATACAACATGACCAGAAAAAAAAAAAGTGATTACGTCGAAACTGATGTGAAATTGGCTTCTGAGACACCTTGTAAATATAAACTGGATAAAAATTGATGATTTGTCTCAGCAAAATCGAGTTTTGTTCCAGAAACAGTAATATGATACAATAGGTGCAGGCTAATGCAATTTTCACAAAATCTAGCAGGATATCTTGTTGCATTACATTCTTTTGGTTCTCCGTTTTTGTACATTGCATATCTACGTAATTCAACATAATGTATATTTTTCTTGCAACATTTATCATCATTTTTTAATTTCGACTCAATCAGGCGATTTTTTGGCGCAATTAATTGAGTCGTATGAAAAACATATAAATAGGTCAAAGCCAAATTAATTTTGATAACATGTATGCTGTTTTTTTGTGAATTTCTTCAAAAGATGTATTTGATGAACCATTATTATAAATATCATATGCAATTGAAACAACATCATTAAAAAGTTTTAGCATAAATTATATATATAAAATTTCTTCCGCAAGGTGGAAATAATTTATTATACTATTAGTAATGTACCATTACATAGTAACATATTAAGTGTTACTATACTGTTTCCAGGTTTCTAACAAGCTAACTTCTATATTTTTCTATTTAATTAAAAATAATAATACAGCTTGAATGGTTAAACATGCATATAAGAACACAAACAGGTTGATGTTGGTAATTGCATGACGCGTTTTTACAAATACATTTTTTATTTTATTATTATTAGAAACATAAGTGAAGGTGAAATTTGGAAGCAAGCATTGCATTTCTTTAATTCAGAGTCAAATAAGCGAAATTTTACTAAAAAAATGATGAAATATATATAATAGGAAAATTTTATTTTTTTTGCTTTATCATCAATACTTTATTTAGAAAACAAATAACAATAATAAGTTCTTTTTCTTTTTCTCTTCTTTTTATAATTTAACAATCACCATTAAAATCAGCATAAAACTTTTCTATATCTTCAATATCATCTTTACTGCCCAAGAAAATAGGACATCTGGAATGAATAGATTCTGGTACAAGATCAAGCACTCGTTTTTTACCATTTATAGCTTTACCGCCAGCTTGTTCAGTTAAAAAGGCCATTGGAAAACATTCATACAAGATACGAAGTTTACCATTTTTTGATTTTTTGTCAGCTGGGTATGCAAAAATTCCACCATATAACAGTGTACGATGAACATCGGCAACCATTGAACCAATGTAACGAGCTGAATAAGGATTTTTACCTTCTGGTGGATATTTGAGTGAATTGAAATATTTCTTACATGGTTCATACCAATATTTTTCATTTCCCTCATTTACTGAATATATCTTTCCACGAGATGGAATTCTGATCTGCGTTAGTTGAGCGGCAACAATGAGTGAGGAAATAAAGCAATTATTATTTATCTATTTAATTAACTGTAATAGTTGGATATATGTTTGTTTAACACTTACATTAGGATGAGTAAGGATAAATTCTCCAATCGCCTAAAAAATAAAAAATAAAATTACATGTAATCACAATAAAAATTATAATAATTAATCAATCGATTAATTGTTCTTACATTATCAAGTGTATAACCATTAACTCCGTTACCAAGTGTAATGACCATATTAGCAGAACTACCATACATACAATAACCAGCAATAACCATGTCAGAACCTGGTCTAAGAACATCTGAAATACTTCCAGTAGATCCTTCACACTAAAATTAATTTTTTGATAATTAATATGTAATAATCATTCACCAATAAAATTCTTTATGATAAAATTATGCCAATGTCAAATAGTTAGCTGATTGACTACTTACCATTTTATAAATGCCAAAAATTGTACCAACGTTTACACCAGCATCAATATTAGAAGATCCATCTAGTGGATCAAAAACAACACAATATTTTCCACGTAATCCTTCCTCAACAATAATTGCTTGTTCATCCTCTTCTGAAACCATCACAGCAACTTTACCAGATGAACAAAGTGCATTAACAAAAATCTCATTGGAAATCACATCTAATTTTTTTTGTTCATCACCTGAAATATTTGTTGCACCACCTGCAAGTCCAACTCTGAATTATTTGATGGGATAGGATAGGATAGGAATTAATCATTAATTTCTTTATTCAATTCATAAATTGCATATTATTCAATTATTATTATTGATCATTATTAATTATTATATTTATTACTCACAAATTTAAAAGTCTAGCTTTTCTAACGTTAGTGGCTACAAATTTACAACCAAGTTGAATTGCATTTAACAGGGTGGTCAAATCACCACTTGCATCTTTATATTTACGCTGTTCATCAAGAACATGTCTTGTCAATGTGATGATATCAGTTGTAACCTTGACTTCAGACATTATTATTGTTAATTAATTAATTAATTTGACTTTTTAAAAAATGAACCTAATACATATTTTATATTAATATTAATGCGGAGTAATTCGGAACTCCCAAAAAGATTTTTGTGTTGCAGACACATACATGCATGTTGATTATTGACTGATTAACATAAAAAAAGGAGATCATAATAAAAATGTAGGAAGTCAAAAAAGAAAATTAGCATATTAATATAGGATAATGAAAGACAATGATTGAAAAGGTTAATAATAATAATATTTTCTTTTCATAAGAATGAGAACTTTATTACATAATCATATAATTATAAATTTTTATTTTCATTTAGAATTTATTTATTGATGGTGAAAATATGGAGGAGTCATGCTTGGTTTGGCACATTTTGATCATATTGATAAATGTGCTGGAGGAGCATTAGATAAAGGCAATTTGTAACTGGTGAACAAATTACTCTTGTTGGCAGTAGCAGATTTATCAATTAGTAAGGTAATTGTTAATGGATGTCATATAAATATCCTGATTGGTGGTGATTTTCCAATTTTTAGAAAAAATAATTATTAATATGAAGACATTTTCAGAATGCTGCTTTGGAATATGGTAAATATATACCAGATTATGTTCTAGTGATATGACATCAATTAATAATTAATTGACTGAAATAATCCTAATAATAATAGTAACACTAAGAATATATCAATAACAACAATTATAATGACAAATATTAAATATTACTGCTATTTTTACTCTTAGATATCATCAACTTCATCCTGAATATATTTATGTATAAATATTTATCAGGTGCACTTTTAGTTTTGGTTGATATACAATTAAAGTAAGTATCATTATTTCATTTTTAATTTGGTTTATGGGCAACTGAAATGACCTGACAACCAACACAAAATTTTTTGGCTTAATATTAATCTAATTTTTATCCTCTTCTTAAATTTTTGTTCTACCATCCATAATATTAAATGATGTATGAATGGCTGAACTTAATTGAAATAAAATATATCTTTATTTTATTTTCTCCTTTTTCCAAAAAAAAAAACAATAGTAAAGAGGCAATAAGATATCTTGAAATCTATAAAGTATTTGAGCATAAACACATCAGATATGACACTTTATTACAGTGTTTAATTAATGTCAATGATTAACTAATTCATTGCATGATATAAATAAGTATGGTGTTGGTGATGATGGTGACAGATAGTCATTGAAAAGATTAATGTTATTGCCATCTGATGAAATTGGACTATGTTCAGAAATAGATAATAAAATAAATTAATGAGACATTTAACAACCATGTAAAAAGATGAAAACTTGATTATACATTTATAATAATTAATATATTAAAAAATTTTTAATATTTTTTAATTAATTCATATTGAATTAGGTGTTGATTAATTAAACTAAACCTTAAATCTTATATCAGGTAAATAGATAGTTATTCAAAAAAATATGTCTAACCTTCTTTTAATAACCATTAAAACTTCAGATTTTTATATTTATTATGGGATGTTTCTTCTCATTCATGCATTGTAAACGTGTTTCGTCGATCCTTGAAAGGTTTTTTAATTAGTTGTTCAAATGCTTCGATTAGCTTTTTGTTTATTGATGATTGAAATTTTATGTTGCAACAATAACAACAATAACCAAATGGCCATAAAATTTCTCACTTAATTATCCAGTCTCGGTCAATCCCGATCAAATTGTGTGATAATAATAGTTGTTGTTGTTGTTGCAATTATATCCTTTATTATTTATTCACCACGTCAATTCGGTGAAATCCGAATCCGACATAAATTGGAGTAGAGAGGAATAGGTGGTGATGTGGTGGCAAAAGTTGATGTGATGGCGATGTATTATTTGTAGAATATCTTGATAGTAATATCTGCTCTTTCAACATAAAATCATCCATATATTAAAGACAGTAATGAAGCACTTGAAATTTATCAAAAGAATTTATTACAAAATCATGTCTATTATTTTGTAATTAATCTGGATGCGTCCAAGTGAATTGGACATGTGTCGCGCAATTTGGAAAGAATTCAGAGAAGAAAAGGCCATATTAGTGTTGTTGAAATAGTTGTAATTTTGATAATAATCTGAATACTTAGCATGTTGAACTTCACATATCATGAAATATCGCGCCTTTCTTTCTATTATTGAGCACTGGGTAAAATAGAAACTTTCCATTTTTTCCCAAATTCAAATTTCTTACGGTCATCTTAATAAAATACCTCTATTGCTAACAGAGCAAAAGGTTCGCTATAAACATTTTTAAAATTGCTACATAATAATTATGTTTTCCAAATTTTCTCGATACTATTCTTTGATTGGATAATTACTACAAATATAACGAAAGGTCATCAACTCACTGTCATTAGCTATTACAATGTTGCATTAGAAATTTAAATATCACACGCCTTATTTTATTTATGATGTTCAATTTCTTAAGAATTTTGCAATTTTGTTTTCAATAGGTTTAATAATCTATTTCAAGGATAAATTGTTTTGCAGGGATTAAAATACTCCAGCAAAGAAATTAAAGGATTCTAAGCACCTTAGATGTTTACTACTAATAAAATGCAATTCTCTTTGTTTAATGAATAATAAATTGTCTCTTTATTTGTTCCAAGTCACTTGACTTACAAACGAAATTGATTTTTTATTTCCTTGTTATTGTTGTTGGGAAAAAAAAAATGTCATTTTCGAAAATGTATATTATTTTGATATTGATCTTTGATTTTCCTAAAATAAGTTCACTACAAATTTTTCTTATTGTTGACATGATTTTTTGATTGTATCTTTGATCTAAATAAGGATGCAAACACATGAATACTTGAGAGCCACGACATTAATACGGAATATGCTTATGGAAAGTGTCGTCCGTATGGCATTTATTTTTTTGATTTACCTAATTCGGATTGGCTTTCCAAGGTTACGACATAGTTACGACATAGTTACGTCATATAAGACAAAAATAGACTCAATCAATTGTAATTGTTTTATTAAATTTTACTTATCTGCTATAATAAAATAAGTTAGAAAGAAATTATCTAAAAATAAATAATAATTTACCAAAAAAGATAGTCTTGTTGCAATTTTTTATTAGTGGGTTAGGATAACATATAAAAACTTTTAATGAGAAAGATATATTAGGACTCAGATAATTGAACTGGTATGTAAGGTATCATATTAATATAACCTCTATCCCAATATCTTATTTAAAAATGGCAAGATAGTTTCCTTTTTGGTCTATTTTTTTTTTTTAAAAAAAAAATATGCAAATGCTTGAAGATTTTACTGGTGTCACTACCACATTTTCATCATACCAGTTCAACTATGACTGATCGCGTAACCTAAATGAGCATTTGGCTGAACTGAATATTTAATCATTATGTTAGTCAAGACAATTATTACCAAACCAGGATTTTAACACCTTTACACGGCCTGCTCTGATTTATACAAAGTCAAGCCACAAGATATTCAACTAAATCTTGTAAAAACTGCATTCACAATGGGCTTTCAACACTGGAAATAAAATTATTATTTATTTGATCAATCTACAAATGTTGAATATTTAACTAAAGGGGGGAGGGGGGTTAAATACTATTCATAAAGAAGAGAATATATAAATGATTATGATGGAGGTGGGGGAGAATTTTTAATTTAGGTTTTTAGTACGTTGTATTGAAATGTTTTAAATGAATGGGGTTTTTTTTTTTTTTTTTTTTTTTTTTTTTTGAAGAAGCAAGCAAGCATTTCATTTAAAACGAAAAATAAATAATTTCCTATTAAATTAATCGATTGTCAATATTTAAAAGTATAACTAAATTTCTAAATACAATCAACCCGGATTTCTGTTACAAATTTAGATATAGTTTCTCTTTTTTTATTCATTAATATTAATATTTTAACGGATTTTATTAGTAAATTCATACAATGACGGATTCACGTGGCATGAAATTTGAATAAGCGGGGGGTTTTAAACCCAAATTTAATTGAATGTATAAATTAAGATTAAAGTTCATTAACGTGGCATACAAATTAAATTAATTACTAAAATTGAAACAAACAGATTTATCCAAATTGATCAAAATCCAGAAAATTCTTTATTAAAAAAAGCAGACCTGAACTAAGAAATATTGATTTAGCAAACCAATATGGAATTAGTACAAGCCAAGTTAGCGATATACTAGTAGTAGATCAGGGCGATCGTTGTATTATAGATTTAGTATTAGGGTTACGTGGATAAAACATCAAAATAAAATTTATGGGATCATGCCATTGCACCTGAACTTTTTCAAAAGATTCAGATATTTATAGAGTTGGAACATTGATGTAGGAATATTTGCTGGATGTCCACCATTTGTTTAATAATTGTGAGGGATTAAGACCACCAATATGTTTACCAGAGATGTCAAAAGAATATGTAGAAGAGAAAAGTGTTGAGATAGTGGTCCAAATTAGTGGTGTTAGCCGGTAGAAAAACCTTAGTCGGCTAACGTCACAAATATCAGTGAACTTTTCATTTTTGCTGATCAAGTAATAAAACTAACTATAACTCCTACTGCGAGCAAATTCTTTTAATAATAATCCCCAGTCAGGTCAAAAATTGCATCCATTGTCATATCATTTCAACAGAATATTAAATGATGGTGACGATATTGCCAAATTTGAAGAATTAATAATAGTCATGATAGTTCATTAAATGATAATGACACTTTAATGAACTTGGTTATGATGAAGGTAAACTATATATTCTAATTAATTAAATTGAAAGTTAACCTGGTATTTTTTATTCGTAATTAATTAATATATATTAGACTCTGGTAACAATCATATTAATAGTAATGGTGGTAAAAGGAAAGGTTGACCAAGTTAATGTGATTGATGAATTTGGGTGACAGATTGGACAAATTGTCGATGGATGATGAGACTATAATCAATGATTACCATTATTATTTTATTAAAGAAATTGGTCACCTTGATTGAAAAGCATATCTAGGAGTGTACGCGTAAATATTTTTATAAAATAATAATAACAATTTTATTGGTCACGGAAATTTTTTACCCGATTGTTTTTAAAGGAAATTCGCAACGATTTTTTATTTTTATTTTAAAAAAATTTTGGTACTTGTTACCCTTGTTATATATAAAATAATATACTAACTAACTATTATCTGTATATTATTTATCATTATTATTATTATTAAATTGGAATATTATTTGTTATTATTAAATTAATTATATAAATATTATTTTTTTAAAAAAAAATCTTATTATAATAAAAAAAATAAAATAATTGACTCTTTCTAAAAAATCATATTAATTATCTATGTCTTTAAGCCATATGGAACATTACGGCGGCTACTACGGCGAGACTGATCAAAAGTGAGTAACCAGAGAAACTTGGTGCAGAATTTGCAGCAGATGGTTTTGCAGGTGCAGTTGTAGCAGCTGTGCTTGTTGTTGCTGCTGCTGGTGCTGCTGCTGGGGTTGTTGCTGCTGCTGCTGGGGTTGTTGCTGAAGCTGCTGGTGGTGATGGTGCTGGTGGTGCAGGTGCTGGTGCAGGTGCTGGAGTTGCAGCAGGTGTTGATGTTGGTGATGTTGATGGTGGTAATGTTCCAGCGCTGACATCAAAGTTACCAGAGAAAGCTTGACCGCTACCATCATTAATAGCAAGGTAATAAGTTCCTACAGGTACATCAACCACCCATTTGAAACTGGCAGGGTTTATTGGTAAATCTTCACTGAGGAATTTTGTATCTTTTGAAGTGAAATTTATAACTTGTAAAGTGACCTTTCCTGCTGGGGGTGTACTAAATTGGTATGTGATGTAGACTGTTGCACCTTGAGCAACTGGACCGGCTATACTATTTACTGTAGCGGCTGTTTAATGGTAGGAATGAGACAATTAAATTATTATTAGAAACGTATCCTTTTATTATTAATTACAAATAATAAAAGTAAAAGAATGCTTACCGGCATAGATATAAGTAACACAGTAGAGAAGAACTGACAATAAGGTAAGATGAATGCGTGCCATTGTGTTATATTATTATTATTATTATTATTATTATTATTATTATATTCTATATTTGTTATTAGGTAAAGGAAAAAAAATTAATTAGATGAATTGTAATTAGGGAGAGAAGAGGATATTGATTGTTTTCTAATTTTATTTTTAAAAATTAAAAATTAAAAAAAACCAAATGAATCTAGCAAGAGTATTTATATAGTTATGGATAAGGAGAAAAGATAAAGAATAATTTAATAAAATTAATCAATCAATTAAATCAATTTAATTATGGTTTTTTTTGTGTATAAATATTAATAAAAATAAAAATGCAATGTTGTATGATGAATATATTACACAGACGTTATTATTATTTATGAATTCAAAAACGATTAGGGAGATAATAAAGATGATTATTGGGTTAAATTATTTGCATGCATTTATTTTTAATTATTAATTTTTATTTTGGAAGAGAGGGAAAAAGATGAAAGGTGAGAGGATGAGAGGGCGAGTGAAAAAAAAACTTGTGTTTAATTAATTTTTGAAAATTGCATGTAATTTCTTTACCTTAAATTATATTGTGCTCTAGTATATGATATGATAATTATAGCTTCTTTTTTTTTTTAAAAAAATGAATTTTAAAAATTTATGATGGTAGGAAAAAAGAAGATATTTTTATATGAGAATTTTGTTTTATTTATAAGTTAAAAAATTGATACTTAAAATAAAAAATTTATAATTTATGCCAAGTTGAGAATAATAATTATTTCGATTATATTTTTTGCATAAACAGCCAAAATAATTATTTGTAAATAAAAAAAATAAAATAAATAAAAATAAATATAAATAAATAAAATAAAATTAATTACTGTTACATTACATTTTTAATAATTTATTTCCATAGTGTATTATTTATCAAATATTAAACATGGCTAGTTGACCGAAAACTTTAATTACCCGAATTTTGCATTAAAGGCTCTAATACTTACTAATAAAACTAACAAATAAACGAATTTTAATAGATGCGTCCCCGCATCACCCTTCTCTGATAAAACCATACATCCCATCATTAATGAATTTATTCATAAATTCTATCTATGATGATAATAATATCTATTAATATAATAGATGTTACACCCAATTATTGCTTCTCTTTCTCTTTTCCATATATGAATAATACTTTTTTTCTTAATTGTTGAAAGCCGAAAATCTGTGATTCTTGAGTGTTGTTCTTGCTAATTAGCTGGGCAACTTGGAATTATTGTACAATGAATTGTTAAATTTATCAGGTAGACAAAGAAGATTTTTAAAATTTTATCCGTTTTTTTTTTTATTTTTGCAAATTAATAATAATCTAAAATTATCGAATTCTAAGAATAGATTTAACAAAAAATTATATTGTTCTATTTATAAATCTAATTCTCTCCCTCCCCCCACCAAATTATCTCTATCACAAGTTATTTTAAAATCCTTTCTTATGATATAAATATGTTTAATGATGTAATACACGATCAATAGAAGTCACAAGAAAAAATTTTCTGCACTAAATTACGTGATAATCGTAATTTCCATACTAATACGGCATAAAAAAAAGAAAAGGGTAAAGCTTAAATTTTTAGTGGAATGACCAATCTAAATTTTCATTGGACAAATTATGGTAGCACATATTCACAAATACGCCCATATGCATGCATATCTTTAAATGATAGGTAAAGGAAGAGATTAAATTATTATTTTGTTTATGCAAATTTCTTTCATATACTTATCCTTTTCCTCTCCTTCTCCTTAACATTTTCCTTCTGCTCTCCTCTTTTCTTTTCTTTCTTTCCCAAATTTCAATACAAACAACAATTGCTGCACAAAATATCTGCCAATTGATTATTAATAGTTTTCTTTTTTCTGCCTGTCCCCCGCATTTCTTTATTAGTTATTATTATGGTTTCCATAATAAAAATTTCATTAATCTTGCTATAATTATTATTATTATTAAAAACTGAACAAATTTTCTTGGCAAAAAAATTTACTTATTATGAAACATTACACACATTATAGTACACAACTCAAAAGTCACAAACATTTGTTCTATCAAGCCTGTTATAGAAAATTATATCAAACACGAATTTCGACCAACCAAAAAAATTTTATTATTAGTTAGTTCCCTTATTAACAACATCATCCATACTCTCTGGAAACAATTTCTTTTTTAAAATTCCAGACTTTTCCATACACTTCCATTGCTTTCGATTAAATTTCATTATGTATGCGGTCAATTTTCCCATAACAACTTCACTAGTGGTGTCAAAAAACCAATCATGCTTCTTTAAAAATTGAGCAATTCTGAATTCGGCTTTGGGCACATCCTCCTCATTCCCAACCACCAATTCCAATTCACCAATATGATGTCCAAAGTCTGTTGTATCCAAATCAAGTGTGAACTCTTCATCAACAAAATAATGTTTTCGAGTTGTTGTTATTCTACAAAATTCATTCAATCCATACCGATTAATTATTCGATTTTTAAATGATATTCTCGACGAAAAATCATCATCATTGCTAGATGAAGATGGAGTAAGTTTCTTGTTGAGATATTTATCAATTTCTTGATGTGTTACAAGTTCGTGATACGAATCCATTGACGGTGTAAGATTCATCGGTGTCTTGCATTCCCATTTTCCATCTCGTTCTCTCAACCAAATATCTTGTGTGGACAATGGATAATTTTTATCATCATCGTCGTAATAAACGTCCGTAAAAGATTTCGAATAGAGAAATTTGATCGATTGGAATTTAATTGGTCCCTTGTTACTTTCTAATATTGGTATTCTCTCAAGATCAAATGTAAATTTGCGTTCAATTTCAAAATGTGAATTTTGTGGTGATGATTGTTGTTGTTGTGAAAAAGAAGATGACAGTTTAACTGACTGGTAGTAGTTGTAGTATTTGTTATTGTTGTTTTTACAATAATTGTTTTTAAAACATCTTAAAAGTTTGACCAATTCACGACCAAAAATAGACATAATGAAAATTTTCTTTCCCAGAAAATCAATTAATCAGCCCTGTTTATATATAAATATTAATATAGTAATAATCAACACTTTATGAAGATACAATGGTCATGTATGATCTAAAAAGATGTAAATATCACATCATTATTTTACTTGGGAAATGTAGTAAATCTTTACCAAAGAGAAATCATTGTATGTCTTTTTTTGGTCAATTCATAAGATAAATAAATACTTGAAATTAAAAAAAAAATTTTTCCAAAAAACAATTAATTTCCTTTTCAAGAAGAATTAAGCCATTCTGTATCGAGTTCACAACTGTCCTTAAAAAAAATTCACTGTTCCATGAAATGGGACACAATAATTCAGCTAAACTAAAACCTTATAATTTAAATTATATATTTCTTTTTATAAAAGTGTTTTAAAGAAGGTGTAACTTTTTCTAAAAAAAAAACGTCCATCCACTGAGAAAACCCTTAAAATCTTAAAAATAAATTAGTAATGCTCGCTGAAATATAATAAATCCTTAGATAGTATTAAATATAAATTCAAACAGTATTTAACCTGATTTCAAACAGGTTCATATGGTATTAGAGATACAACAATGGTTGACCATTTAAAGCATCTCTTTGTATGTGGCATTCCTTTGTCCCCATACAGTCATGCCCCCTTCTTTTGAGAAGTTTGTTATATACAACTAAAGTGGGATATAACTTTTTATATTGATATATTTATTTATTATTACAAATTCAGTCATCGAAGAATGATATTTTTTTTTCCATCTAAACATTTTATTACAAGTAGTAAAATCATTTTATTCTAAAATTTCTTTGCAGTTTCAATTGCTTTTTTCTCATGTTGGTACAAGATTCTTCCTCTTTACTGGTATCTTATATTAATGATCCATTATAGAGCGTCCTATAGCCATTAATTCAATATTTTACCACCACAGCCTCTTAATTTAACATGGCTTTTTTGTGTCTTATATGTTGCATAAATAAGGTAAATTTAAAGATGGGATTTGGGTAAGAGGGATATGACTGTACACTCTCAATTATTATGTAATATATTTGATGTTGATATTTTATTTGTAATAATAAAATAAATAAATTGCTCAAGTAATAATATAACTCATATATAAATAGGTCACTAATGCAGCTGACTTGACACTTCTATATAGTTTTGAGGATTCTAGTAAGACTATGTAGAGATGAAAATTTAAAGAACTAATCTTATTCGAATATTCGTAATTTTATGGAAATGATATTAATATTAATATTCAAATGTTTGTATATTTTCGATAATAATACTTTCGAATTAGAATATTCGTAATATTAATATTAATATTCGTAAAACTTTCGAATATCCGTAACACGTAATAGTAATAGCAATAGTAATGACTTCCGAATTAGGATATTCGTAATATTCGTAATGGTGACAACACTTTTGCTTTTAGATGTTGTAATATATACTTTTTATGAATTTAAAAAAATATCTAAAAACCCAAATACATTCAAAATATAATATTTATGTCTCTTTTTAAAAACACAACCTTTCTATTTTGTTTTGGTGTAATGTTGCTTTAAACATCACCAAATAACCATTTTATGTATAGCTTTCTCTAGGTTTTCCATGTTCCGTCAAAATCTTTGGTTTTTTTATTTGGTGGCCTACACAATCTGTCATCGATAATTGATTCTGACGAAAAATTAGGGTTTGTTTCTTCTTTATATCATTAATTAAAAATTATGCCATCATTTATTAAACATTTTTATCGAAGAAATTTTATCAACATGAATATTCGAACATATAAAATTATTCGACACCAATTTTAATTAATTAAATATTAATATTCGAACTTCTGATATAATAATAACCTGGCAAGGGAAATTTGGCAAATGAGCCTAATTGGAACTCTGTGTATATTAAATATTTATTGTACTACTCACCTAAAACCTTCCTAATTTTAAATTATAACAGAGTACCTCAAAGATCATATCCAAAAATAGAATTTATTGAACTTGGTAGTAGATTTAATGATTACTCCTTTTGCGCGTATCTGGTTTCTCCCCTTGCAACCTTATTCAGAACAAAAGCACGTGTTATGCAAGAGATTCCCAACTTACTCTTTAAGAGAGTTGAGCTTGAATACAATTTGATAAATTCAGAGTCCTCGAATTTTCCATGGCTAGGGCTGAGAATAATATAAATTCACTGTATAATAATACCACATCGTATAATACCGCGCGTTAAATTTCCAAACCCATGAGGATTGAGGTCGGATCCCAAAATATTTAATGTTAAGATAGAATGCACGGAAAGTCTGTGAAACAAGTGCTGTGTGATTATCTTTTTTTTCAACATAAAGTATCTATTATAATGATAGCAATTAACTATTTTTGAAAAGATAATAATAAAAATAAATAAATATTTGATCAATAATGGCTATCTTTGAGCTATTGTTCGCTGTTCCACCAACACAATCAACCGTGATCTTTCAAGAGATCACAAGCAAAGATTTCAAAACATTTGTTGGAGAGTGGCTGAAAACATCATTGTTTGCCTTGAATCATCCATCATTAAGAAGATCTGAATAAAAATGCAAAGAAAATAAAATTATTAAACGTTGTATGACAATCAAGTGCAAGATATTTATTATAAAACACTAAAAAAGTAAAACCCGTTTATTGCCCAATCTAATTTTTCTCAGTGATATTCACAAATTCCCACGATCCATAAAATCACTTTATTTGCCAGGGTGGCAGTAAAAAAAATAAAAACCTGCATATCCATAATAATAATAGTCGTTTTTCTTTGATTATTTATTATCATGAACTATCTAGCAAGATCCAGAATATCTAGAAAATAGTATGAAAAAAATAAACAATCGTACAATGGTGGTGAATTAATAAATAACTAGTACTAGAGTTCGGCCCAAACCGGTTTGAAATATTAATATTAACATTAATATTAAAAAAAGAGGTTTGAATCCGGTTTGGATCCAGTTCTGATAATTGTGTAAAAACTTAATTCCACAATTGTCTGATGACACTTGCAGTGTTGAAATTTCGTTGTGTAACTAGTACAAATTTAGAAACTATCTAAAAATTTGATTGGTGTAATGTTACACCCGCATTCCCCGCACTGAATTTTCAACACTGGACACTTGTACAACTTTCTGCATCACAGATATTGTGTCACAAAATTGTGTCACAAGATTGTTTCAAAAAAATTAACTGAATCTGGTAATTAATTTTTGGGTAAATGTGTAATAGGATTGAATTTTGCAGATTTTTTTTTAGCAATTACATTATTAGGAAAAAGGGAATACGTTCACTCAACAAATTACATCGAATTACAAGCATTCAATACTCAAATATCTGTTTCACTATTACTATTAATAATTGTTAGAAGGAATTGACGGAATTTACCAATGAAATAATAATCACATGTCACGCACGATTTATTTATTAGTTTTTCTTTTATTTCTTTTAAAAGTTTTAGTAACAAAATTATTAAATAACGGAATACAAGTCAAAAATTTCAAGGTCCTGGGACAATTCACCGTAGAAAAGTGGGATCCAATCCCCAATTTATCTCTGATTAGTTTTATTTAATCCAAAAATCAAGATGTTAGTCTGTAATCGAAACCAATAATGAAGGCATTTAATATTAAAATGCATTCAAAAAAAAAGTCCTGCTTTTAATCTATTGAATCCATACGAATTGGTGCAGTGGCTGTTCCATAATGATTGATTTTTTTGCAACACACTGTATATAAAAACTAATCCATATATGAATCATTCCTTTAACTTTAGAAATTAAAATGGTGAAATAATAAGAATGTGAATATTATGCATAAAGAAAATAATTTGGAATAGTTTGGATGCGAAGCATCCTAGCATCATTTTTGTGCAATGAAGTAGCACATTAATTGAGTAGTCTAATAAATCACTACGAAACATATAAATAGACCTGTTATCTTCAAACCAAAAAATTGCATCCGAATTCAAGGGTTGAGTCACGTATTAGAGTAGTTTATTTCATTACTCATATTTTCATGAATAAGATTACAATCTAAAGCTAGTTTGTCGGTTTAGGATCCGAGTTCAACAAAAATAAACCGGATCTGAATCCTAGGTTTTACTTTATTTGATAATTGAAAATATTGAATTAAATTTCGTGATTCCTGAGCACACAAGATTAAAATGTGACGATGGTAATGGTAATTTTGACTTGATTCTACAGAAAAGCAAGTATAAATTGTGTGGATCACCTAGTCCAGCAGGCTTTCAATATTTGGGTATCAAGTCTACTTTGGAATTTATTTTAAAAAATCAAACGGCCTGCAAAAATACCCAACATTTTCTTTTTTGAGGCATTTAATCGTGGTGTTGTCAAAACTCTGGAGGTTTATAATGGGCTTCTTGCTGAATTCAATTTACTGAAAACTAGGAGAACAGATATTTCTGAAGTTATAAAAGAAATTAAAGCTTTATTTATTTAGTGTTAAACTCCCTCTCTGGATTACAAGCGGTAAGAATGTGAATTTAAGGATATCGCTTGTTTAGAACTAGCACAAGGTGTTAACAACAGTGTTGTGACCAGAAATTCTTTTGGCTTCCCGAAACGTTTCGGAAAATGACCTTACACTAAGCAGAAACTAAACCTAAACCTAAACATAAACATAAAATACTAACCTAAACTAGTTTCTGTTTCTGGTTTTCCCTAAACTCAGAGTTTCGGGTCACAACACTGGTTAACAATCAACCCAAGTTCGCTGGAAATTATTTTTCTTCCGTTTTTTGGTTCTTTTCATGGTTTTATGTTAATTGGTTATGATTTTCCTTTCTTTTTGATAAAATTCACAAGAAATTTCTCCTTTGTCTAAATATTTTTAGTATCATTATCTTGAAAAGATAAGAAGCAATTTTTTTCATCTTTGTTCATTCTTCAAAATATTTCTGATTGTGCTATATAATTCTTTGGTTCCGTAGTAGACTTGATGTAGATAA